AATGATTATCTTGAGATTATCTTGAGATGATTTCGGGGCTTTTAGTGTCCCCGTGGCCCGGTCCTCGACCAGGCCTCCACCCCCAGGAAGCAGCCCGTGACAGCTGACTATCTCCCAGGTACCAATTTACTGCTAGGTAACAGGGGCATTCAGGGTGAAAGAAACTTTGCCCATTTGTTTCTGCCTCGTGCGGGAATCGAACCCGCGCCACAGAATTACGAGTCCTGCGCGCTATCCACCAGGCTACGAGGCCCGAGAGATGGCCAAGCAACTGATACAAGATCCCTCTATGGTAATTCCATAAATCTTTACTGTGCTAAACGAAAAAAGGCCGTTTTTAGGCAGCATAAGAACTTGGTCTGTATTTCTTATAGTTGAGTTCATTTGTTATGCAGTCTATTATACCCCAGGATGCGAGAGGCAGTGGAAAAGTGTACAGAGGCAGATAATGGAGTCAGGAACTGAACCCTAATATTGGCTTAGCTAAGCAAGTTACAGCACTGATGCTGTTTAGTGGTTATAAAGGTTTGTTAACAAGTGCTACAGCAGATTATTCAGAGTTTTGGCCAGTTTAGTTTAACATAAATGTTACAGTCGTGTAACAGACTAAGGAACTAATAATAATAATAATAATAATAATAATAATAATAATAATAATAGCAAATTTGATAGGTTAAGCAACATCTGTGATGTGCTAGTATTCTCTTAATACTGACAGTTCATTTCATCTCATCCCAGGGGACACGAAGTCAGACAGTATGGGACATTGAACAATATAATGTTCAAGAGAATGCATGTTTTCACTTTTAAGAAGTTGACTCCTGATGTTTCGACATTTCAGGGTTGGGAATGCTGTGCGAAACCTCTGTATCCCGCCACTCAACACAATCTGGCCAATTTTGGTTGTACAAGTTCCTCATATAAGTGTTCCGGCACGGTATTCATTTGACAGGTAAGGACGGTTTTCACCAGTGTGTGTGTGTGTGTGTGTTCTGGTGCTCCGGTACACCAAGCTGTTTGTGCAGGCACGTCAACAAAGTTGTGAGGCGCTCAGAGTGATGATTAGATTACTTGATATAATTCAATTCAAAATATAAAAAGGAATATATATATATATATATATATATATATATATATATATATATATATATATATATATATATATATATATATATATATGTATATATATCAATAAATTTATATTGAGAGAATCAGCCGACCTAAGGCTTAATATATATTTGAAAATAAATATTTCCTAAAAAAAAAATAGAGTTCATTAAAATAAATATATCGAAGTGTCAATGAAAGGAAGAGCTGCATCAATAAATAAATAAATAAATAAATATATGTATATATATATATATATATATATATATATATATATATATATATATAAATATATATATATATATATATATATATATATATATATATATATATATATAATATATATATATATATATATATATATATATATATATATATATATATATATATATATATATATATATATATATAAAAGGCTAAAAATAAAAAGTTGATAAACTGTTGATTTTCAAATTAAGCAAAATCTGGAAGAAATGACCTAAAAGAACAGTGTTTGAATGTGGCCGCTGAATCATAAACACATTTCCTTTATGGTGGGACATTCCAAGGTGAGCAATTTGGTCGCATTTACCTTAATTTAAGGAGCACTCCCGTCTGGCCCAAACTTCTGGCTGTTCCGGCTGATTATAGCTTAACTAGCAACTTGACCAGTGGTATAGTGATGATGTTGGTACAACTTACCTATCCGTGACTACGAGGGAGTGAGGTCTATCCCTTTATTCCCCGCCTGTGCTAGCCTTGTTCTATCCGTTGCGTTATGTTTTATTCAGAATCCGACATTAAAGTTGTGGATGGAGGTGGCTTCCACAACCTCTTCCTCTCAGTGTATTCTACGTTTTGACCAGCCGTGCCGGGTACGACTGTTTCCTTATATTTCCTTGACTCATATCCTTTTCCAGCTTCCACTTGAGTCCTCTTGTCCTACTGTCTCATTTTTTAAGTGGCTAACCTCGCCCACTTTGTCTATTTTCTCTCAGTATCTTGAATGTTATGATCATATTCCCTCCGTTCCTTGGATTCTCTAGTGTTGTAAGGTATAGTTATATTAGAGTAATCTCGTAGCTTAATCCTCTTAGCTGTGGTACCAATCTTGTTACAGACCTCTGAACTTTTAAATATAACTCTTATGCTTCACAAGGTGCGGATTCCATCCCGGTGCTGCATATTCCAGTATTGGTCTAACAAAGGTTGAGTAGATTTCCTTGGCGTCCTGACTTAGGTTTCAAAACGGTGTTCTTATGTTTGCCAGGGGGGTAGAAATAGCCTAAGCTACTCTATCCCTTTGAGATGTATTTTTTCTTGTCTCAATAAACATACTTGAACTTGAACTTATGTTTGCCAGCGTCCCGTGTGCTGGAGACGTTACCCTGGTCATGTGTGTGCTTCCCTTGAT